GTACCCAGGGCCGTGCACATGCTAGGCAAGCATTTTGTCTCTGAACCACACCCCGTTCTGCTCTGTAGTTTAAAGGATACAACTTTCACATTCAACTTAAGCCAGAACTCAGGCTTCACTCTTCCATCAGAAATCCATGAGCAGTGGCAGTGTGGGCCGCTTGGTTTACAGAGCAGCTGGCCCTGCCCACGGCTGGCCTGGCCTCAGGAGGAGGAAGTGTCCTCACGTGCTCACTGTTATGGCTGGCCTTTCCCAGCTACGACTGTCCTTGTGGTTGACAGATGGTGGTGACAGACCAATGAAGCAAGTGAACTTTTCCCTCCTTTTTCTGATGTTGGGTATAACCTGACAGATAAAGTGGATTTTAATGAATAAATTATCTAAAACCCATTTCTGTTTCTTTGTTTGAAATGAAAACATGACCTTGAATGTGTTTTTCTCTAGAGAAAGGAGAGAGAAACACTTTGATTCTGGAATCTCTGTGCTTTTAGTTTTGGGTGCTGTGCACCAATTGCTGGGAATGCTCAGGCCTGCTGGCTCAGTGTTGCCTGCATGCTGTAGGAACAGTCCAGGGACAGAGGGACAGTTGGGCTGTGGATGTGGTTTCCATGCTGGCTTTGGCCTCTGGGAGCTCGTCCACAGTGTCAAGGCCACAATTGCAGCTGCTCTTTGCTGGTTTGCAAGGCCAGGACCTTTCCAGGATGGGCAGTGAGATCCGTGTGCTCCTGTCCTAATAAGAATTCGCTCTCAAAGTTCATTTCCTCACTGCAGTTTGATAGCACCAATTTTATAATCTCTAAAGGATTCAGACTTCTGAACTGTTGTTGTCTTACAGACATGATAGATACAGCTAATGTTTTAGATCAGATTGTCTCTTCTAAGGCTGTAGTTATCAGAGAGGTTTTTCCCTCAAGGACATCTGGTGCCATCTGGAGATGTTTTTGATTATCATCCTTGAGTGTATGTGTGTGTGTGTCTGTCTGTCTGTCTGTCTGTGAGAGAATGTGTATGTGGTAAGTGGTTCTGGTATGGAGTGGGCAAAGCCCATGGGAGACATACCAATCGATGCATGGGATGAAAGATCATCATAACTAAAGTCACAACACCAAGAGCAGAGGGTCCCAGCAAATGGAGGAAGCTCCTGCCCCAGGTGGGACTAGACTAGGCAGTGAGATCCACTTGGGTCACAGAGGAGGGAAGGGAATGTCATTGATGGCTTTCCTAATATATCAGTACTTAGTTTAATGAATCCCATTAATTAACTTTGTACTTCAGAAATTTATACATTTGATTTTAGCAAATGTAAAAAAGTAGACTTACTTTATTTTAAGCTTCTTTGCTGCCTGTGGGACCTATGAACTTGCACATGAAAGGCAGTAAAGATGAGTGTCTCTCATGTCACAGGCAGTCATACAGATGGCACTGTTGCTGGTCAGGACCAGGCAGGCAGTATTCAGATTTGGCCCCAGGCAAGGAATGTCATGGAAGGTACAGAAACAGAACATGGTGTTTTCAGTGTATAAAATAGGCCGATTTGATATAGGGGTGCTTCACAATTAAAGGGTTCCTTTGTTATCTACCTAGGAAGACCTCTAAGTGTATCCTGCTGGCTCAGTTCAGGGGAAACCATCAAAAGTGGTGTCTGCTAAAGCAGGCACTGTGTGACCCTGTGCTTTGCAGACTAGGAGAGAGCAGAGAGGCCTGACATGCTCTTTTCCTCCATCCCAGCAGCCTATGCACCCCCTGTTTTTTAGTAGAAGTGATTTCTACTGTAAAGACTCCTATGGAGCAGAGGCATTAAAGAAGTAGCTGTGACATGCCCCCCCACACCTTGACCTCCCCAAGAACACAGCCATGACAATTTTCCATTCATTCTCAGCACCATTCATGCAATCTGTCTGTTCATCAGCACACAGGATCGTGTGTTTTGGTGAGGTGTAATGTGGTGCTCAGGTGGCAGGGACATGGCACTTCACACACACAGCTCTTCTTTTCCTTCACACAAAATGGAGCCGTATAATCTGTGATGTTTTGAGATTTACATTCAAAAAGTCAGAATAAGTCCCTGACATCTTCCTGTGTAATTTCTTACAAATATAACCTCTGTCTATAATGGGGCACAGTGCTCTACAAAGTGGATGTATGGACCCTACTTCACCTATTGATTCTTTTTTGTTTTTGGAGATGGGGGTCTTTCTCTGTTGCCCAGGCTGGCCTTGAACTCCTGATCTCAAGAGATTCTCCTGCCTCCACTCTCCACAAGGCAGGATATATAGGCTTGTACCACCATGTCCAGCATGCCTTTGAATTTTTTCATATGGGCTCTGTTAGTATCCAGGACAGGCTGCAGGTCAAGCCATTCTATTTTCTGAGTTTTAAAATGTAAAGTGAAATTTTTATTTGTTTCCATACGGTAGCTCCTGTGGGCCATTTGGAGCCCAGGTTCCTTCCTTCTCCCAGCTCTGCCATCCCTTGGCTGTTGTCTTATGTGTGGTTAGAGACTGTTCGCCATGTCTGCATCCCAGCAGGATGGGTGTTGAGGGCAGTACTTCTGATTTGTATACTTCACTTCTGGTCATGTTCTGTTGGCCAGAATTTGTTCATGAGGACAGATTTAGCTCAAAGGAAACTGGGCTGTGTTTACCTAAGACTCCCCTTGGTAAGGAAGAGGGAAAAGACAGGCACCAGATCAGCGTCCTCTGCCACAGTGACATGTAGGCGGTTCACAGTTTTTTGTTTTTTACTGGTAACAGTGCTGTATGTCCTTGGCCATATGTCCCTGTCTCTGTGCATGATACCAGTATTTCTATAGGACGGACACCTAGGAGTAGTTGAAATGAATGGACATTTTAAATATCAGCACTGCAGATTATCTTCTAAAAAAGCTTCACTAATTTCCATTTCCACTGCCACCAGCATTCATGAGTGCCCTCTGTACATCTTTCTTTTCAGTTTGCTGAAGGGAGAGAGGAAAGAGGGGAGAGAAAGAGAGGGAGAGGAGGGAAGGAAGGCGGCAGGGAGAGAGAGAGAGAGAGAGAGATTGAGACTCATCCTCACTATAGTTTGCATTTTCCTGATCAAACGGAAGCTTGGCTCTCATCCTGATTATTGACCATTCCTATTTCTTCTGTACAGTGCCTGTCAGTATCTTTTACCTGTTTATTTTTGCTGCTGTTGGCAACAAAAGTTTATACACACACTTTCTAAGTGTAAATTCTCTGTCACTTCTGCAGTGCCTGCTTTTTTTCTAAAATTGCCTGTGATTGGCAGGTGTTTTTCTTATTGTACTTATTGATTTGTTTCTTTAAGAGTTCTAGGTTTTGTGACTTGTTTAGGAGGTGTTTTCTTATGCCCAAATAAGTAAATATTTTATTCTGATTTTTCATTTTGGTGTTTAATGCAGCTTACTTTTTTCATGTACAGAACCTGAGCTGGCAGTATCAAATGGCTAGCTACATTTTCCAGCACTGCTTACTGAATTGTTCATTCTCTTTTACTGATTGAAAATGCCTCCTTCATTACAGTTATATATGTGGATCTATTTCTGGGTTTTGTCTTCTGTTAATTTGTTTGTCTTGCCCTCACTAATACCAGCCTGTAATTGCCACGAGTTTATAGCATATTTAATATCTGGTAGTGCGAATCCCTATTCATTATTCTTTATTAATTTTTTTCTAATCTTGTGCATTTCTCTTCTACACTCACTTTAGAATCAGCTTGACAAATTCCATTAAAGGAGAAACCTTGTGGGCATTTTGAGTGGGCCTGTGTTGCCTGTATAGATTCATCAGGGGAATTGGCATCTCCAGAATCCTTCAGGGAGAGCTTATTTAGAAAGAGCATTTCCAGGTGTTCTCTTACTGATTACATGATTGTAAATAATCCACCAAATAAGGACAGTGTCGCCTTATGTGAACAGAACATAGTCCTCATCCATGCTAGAGATAGCCACAGGCCTCCCTTGCTGGCACATTGTGTCTTCTTGTCTGGGAGATGACTCATGTGTGGCTCTTTGCTGTGCATGTCAGGCAGGCTTCTGATGGCTACCTTTCCCTAGGCCTTGCTTGGCCATCTTGCCATCCTGTCGAACTGTAAACTCAGCAGCCTTAGAGGCTCTTGGTGTAATTTGATTTCTGCCAGTTTTATCACTTACGCTATTAATGTCTAAGGAAAGGAAAGGAATCAAAGGTATTCTGAGGAAAAGAGTGGCTTTAACGCGTTGGCAGTGAGTGAGGGTTTTAAATGTTTCTCTCATCAGATGAGAAAGTCCTCTGCATTCACCAGCAGTCACTGGAGTCTTTTCAGTTGAACAGAACAGTGTGTCCAGAAGAGCATCTCACTTGGTTAGTGTTCATGTTACTGTTCTGTGATTTGGGAAAAAGTATTTTTTATAGGGCCAGGCGCTGTGGCTCACGCCTGTAATCCTAGATACTGGTGTGGGGAGCACTGAGGTTCGAGCAAGACCAGCCTGAGCAAAAAGCTCCCAAGACTTCATCTCAACCAATAAAAAGCTGGGTGTGGTAGCACACACCTGTCTCCCCACTGTGTGGGAGGCATAGATAACAGGTTTATGATCCAGACCCTATTTGAAAAGGAAAAAACAACCAAAGAAGAAAAAAAGAGAGTTGGGGGCGTGGCTCAAGTGGTAGAACACCTGCCTAGCACGCACAAGACCCTGAGTTCAAACCCCAGTACTGCCGATAAACAACAAATAAATAAATAAATAAATTTACAGGGCCACACCCTCTGTACCCTTCAGTGTGGTTTTAAAAGTCACCTAGAGGGTAAAATGCTGTGGACATCTGAATTAAAGGGCCAGCAGGGAAAACATGCAAATCTTGGGGCCTGTTCGACTTTTCAGAGCTCACTTCTGTATAAATGAAGCACTGTGGTATACACGCAGAGACGTCTCAGAGGGAAAGGGTACCATGTTGTCCCTCCTTTAGTGTGCTCTTGAGACATACAGATATGTAACTCAGCACCCTTTGCTTGTTTTGCAGAACTACACTCAGTATATTCCTCTGTCCATATATGATCTGCAGACCTGGATGGGCAGCCCATCCATCTTCGTCTATGACTGCTCCAACGCTGGCCTGATTGTCAAGTCCTTCAAGCAATTTGCCCTGCAGAGGGAGCAGGAGCTGGAGGTGAGACCCCAAGAGGGCTGTGTTGTCTCTTGTTTTCCGAGGGAGGGTGGAGGTTGGGATGATGGATATTTGATCGACAAAATTCCCAAAGTGCTGTGGTTGAGATGGACTATTGGATGAGAATGGGGAGGGCATGTCACCAGCTGAGGGCTATTGGATAGAACTGAGGGGCATGGCACCAGCTGAGGGCTATTGGATGAGAACTGAGGGGGCGTGGCACAAGCTGAGGGCTATTGGATGAGAACTGAGGGGCGTGGCACAAGCTAAGGGCTATTGGATGAGAATGGGGAGGGTGTGGCACAAGCTGAAGGCTATTGGATGAGAATGGGGATGTGTGGCACAAGCTGAGGGCTACTGGGTGAGAATGGAGAGGGTGTGGCACCAGCTGAGGGACCTATTTTTACATTCATTTAGTCACTGCTATTCCCGTCTCCACGTTAATGAAGTGGTAACATCAGCAGAGTGGACTTGTGTTTCAGTGCCCTCTGCCTCTCAGGCAGCGTTAGAATGATGTGGACTCATTTTACCGCAGGAGAAATGGGCTCATCTGTTCCCTCGCAGCCTTCATTTACACTAACATCTGTGTTCCGCTCCAGTTTCACTGTTTTCTTCTGTGTTCTATAACCAAAACCACCAAGCTAAATGGTAGAAACCAAAGCACCTGCCACTAGTGGGTCCCACGTAAGCAATTGGAGAGCCTGTGTGGTGCTTGGATAATGAAGTAGCATTTGCCTGCTTGTTTTAATTAATATTCGATGCCTGAATTAAACGGTGAATTCTAAAGAGAAATCGAAGAGGCAGTTTCAATTAAGGGGCCTCCATCCCATTGTCTGTACAGGACTGTCAGTATAAAGAATTCTGTAGCTCCAGGGGGTCGTGAATTCTGGTTGGTTGCAATGCAGGAAATTCTCAATCCAAGAACAAAAAATGGTCTTCAGTGTGTTTCCTCAAGCTTTTTTGGGTCTATTCAATTTTAATGTGTTTGTTAAGTTTTTCACATTTCATCAGAAGATAATGCTGGGAGAGTCAGCAACAGAATTTGAGATTTGATCCAGCAGATGTTAAAGTTAACATGTCCACAGTTTAGTATTTCGTGTGTGACATGCTGCGTGAGTGGCTGATGAGTTGCCCTTCATACTTGAAAATGGAGCTGAGTGCCACAGTTGTTTGCTTGCTGCTTTGTTTGCTTTGCACACAGAGAAGGGAAAGATCAAGTTTTGAATCGCCAGGTTTTTTCTTACTCTCAGACGTTTCATCTGGCTTCCCTAGAGGTAGGTTAAAAACCTAAGACGCCAAGAGGTATTTTGTGTTTCTTCACGTAAAGTAGTAAATATTGCAAAAAGAATATTTTAAAAAACATAATATGTAAATAGAAATGCCAGAGAATCCTGCCTGATTTTTCCACCCATTTCTGAGTGGTAGGGTGGTGAAGATGAGTCAAAGCATGCTGAGCACAGACCCTTTCCCTTATTGGCAGGTGTGCATTTCCAGCTCATGTCGCATGTGAGACACTTTCTTCCTGGTGCTTCGGTATCTGCTTCGTCAGGACCTTGTGTGCTGTCTGTATGTGGCCAAGGATTAGTCAGCCTAAGACACCGCTCATTTCATTAAGTGCAACGAAAGAAACCATTTACATGCATCTTGTTTGGAGGAAAAATGTTTATTTGACTCATTCCTCATGAAGGAGCTCAAAGGGAGAAAACGTGAACTGCAGTGGGGAAAGGAAGGCAGTGCAGTGTTTCACCATCACGTCACAGTTAGTGCTGATCTATATCTTCCTCTTTTATAATTACAGTGTGGACCAGTCTTGTGGTTCTCTGTCACATGTACTGTTATTGGCCATTGTTCAGTGAGTCTGTTGCATAAACAGCGGAAATTAAAATGATAAAATTGGCTCCCAGCTAATATCTTAATGTTCACTTTACTATCTCCTGTAGAAACAGCAATCCTGTGTGACCTGTTAGGTTTATTCTCTTAAAATATTCTTTCCTTCTCTGTAGCTGGCCAGTTTCTTTGTAAACTTATAATATATTTTAATACTTTTTATTATAGAACATGTAAAATGATAGAAATTGGCAAGTAAGTGGTTTGTGCCAGTGTTCGAAAAGTGAAGAAAGTCTTGCTGTTGTTCTGGTGTTCAGTAGGATGGAAAAGAAAACATCACTGCACTTCCTGTCTGTCTTTGTGGCAGTCAAGATTGAATTGGGGACTACGCCTGTAGCGTCAGAGATGGGGGAGAAGAGTAAAAATGATTAACTGTAACACAAAAAAGGTTAGTTGGACCAGAAAGTCTCCAAATAATAAGTATGAATGGAAACATGAGTGACATAAACTCTTAAGAGTTGCTTATCAGCTTTCACTCTTAGCGGCATGGTGCTTGTCTTGGGACCATGAGGTTTATTTGCTGTGTGCTTCTCTCCCATAGGAATACTAGAGGCACAGTGAAAGATGACTTCATAAAAGCACAGCATAACTTATTGCACAACATAGCCAGAAAGATGCATGGCTGTCACTTAGGAATCTTTCTTGTATTATTCAGTGTGTCATATTGTTCTGTAATTTGAAAATTACAAAAAAAAACCCCTCAAGTCTTCAATGGTTTTTGTCCCCTGCTTCCCATCATAGGGATTGAACCCAGAGCCTCAAGCTTTGCTAGACAAGCAATCTACCACTTAAGCTATTCCCCCAACCCTCAATGTTCTTTTTTAGATTAGTACTTTTATATTTACCAAATTAGTATATGCCATGATTTAAAAAAAAAAAAGACAGCAGAGGGCTTATTTGTAATGAATCAAATAGTTCCTGGCCCCGGCTTCCCTGGCAGGGACTCTGTCATGAAAGGGCACCTCCTTTATTCTTTTCTCCATTGCTGTGATATGTGTCTTGACTCATCCATTTAGATTATCTGTGGGCTTTCTGCTATGCACAAACCAAAAGCAGAACCACCATTAGTAACTTCCCTTTATGAATTAGGGGATGGGGGCTGATAGAGTGGCTCAAGTGGTACAGCATCCAACCGCCAGTATCAACTCCCGCTCCCCAGCAAAAAAAAAAAAAAAGTATTAGAGGTATCAGGCCAGGTGTGGTGTACACATCTGTAATCCCGGCACTCAGTCTGGGACAGGAGGATTGTGAGTTTCAGGCCACCATAGGCTACATAGCAAGATATTGTCCAAGAGAGACAGGGAGATGGAGATGAATCATGTGAAGGTCTGATAATCAGGAGACATGTTGCATGGTAGTTTCAATTAATATTTACCTGCATCTGATAGTGAATTCTAGAGAGAAAATCCTCAGCTGACGGGGAGTGTCACCAGCTTCTTCCTGCTTCTCCCTGCCATTCAGTTACAGCGCCATATTTGTTTCTCTGTACTTCGTAACCTCTACAGTATTTAATAACATCCTGCCCACTTATTCCTATCTCATCAGCAACAGTTGGTACCTTCATTGTTTAAGCCTCTGGGCTCCCTTGCACTTTCCTTTGCCTTTTACCTTTACAAACTGAGCTTTCACTCTCACAGTTATCTTCTGCCCCTGACCTTGGGCAGTCCTGTGTGCTGGTGATGGAGATTCTGTAAGGTGGTGAACATTGAACCTTGTCATCTGATCATGACCATGTACATGTGTTCATTGGCTGCCAGACACGGCCCTGCCATTTCCATTTTGTGGCAGTTTCTGTTTGTCTCCCCTTTGTGGAGTTAGTTGCGGTTCTTCCTGAGTTACAGATCTTTAACACTTCCTCAGTCTCCAGATTCTCAAGGATAGCATGAAATCTCAGAATATGTCTTTCCCTAAAGTCCCTTTGCACCAGCCTCTGTCACTGCTCCCGCTGATGGTTGTCTACAGGTTGTCCCCAGTTGCCCCTGCCTGCCTCAGCCCTCCTGGATTCACCACTGTGTTCTGGGTCCACCTCTTTCTCTTTCTTGATGCTCTGCCTTGCTCTGCTGAGTTTCCTTAGGTACCAGCCCCAGAAAAGCTGATGGCAGCCGTTTTCCTTGGGTCCTAAGCATTTACATTTGGAAAGCCTTTATCTGGAAACAATGCTATGCTCTCTGTTGGGTTTTAAACAAGTAACAGCTTGTCTTTTTCACTAACAAGATCTCTGAGGCCAATGGCTTACTTCTTGAGAAATGCTTTGGGCTGGGCTGCTTTGTCTTCCCCTCCACATCCTATACTAGTTGTCCTCGTGGCTGCTTCCTTCCAGTGTTGTCCATACCTGTCTCCCTCATTAGAGAAGAAAGGTAGGTTTTCCTGTAGATCTCTTGGTGACAGCTGGGTCACAAAATTGGCCCAGGAACAGTTGGGGTGGGGCAGGTGGAGGATGGGAAGGAGTTTATTCCATGGGGACTGGCAGCCACACTGCAAGCCTACCACATTCTACCACATGGACATAGAATTGTAGGCTGCCCTCACTCTTGACGGCCTACCTGCTCTTGCTAATTTAGCGGATGAGTAGATGTGTCTAGGAAGGAAAGGTAGGTTCTCTCTGAAGTAATCCTTTTTGGGTATTACTGGTCACTTCTGCTTCCAGTGGATCTTCCCAGGGACCGTTACAGCTCTTCCTCTGCTCAGACTCAGCACAGCTGGTGTCACACCTACACAAGTTCTTTGTCATTAGAGGCAAGCGAGCCAGTTGGTGTCTTAACACAGAACAATAGTGCCTTTCTTTACAGAGACGGGCTAGTCTCAACTCTGTCCCAGTGAGACCCCATCCTGAACATTGCCATCTTCGTTGTTTCAGGGCTGGTGTTGGACATTTCTTTGGTGGTAGTCTGGCAGGAGCTTGTGGACTTCTTCTCAGAGAAGCAGGGTGTCCTACTGTAGGAAGAGCCATTGTTGAAGTGTAGCCCCTGTGTCATGACATTTTTTTCTCCCATTGCAGTTGGCACTTTGCAAGACTTCTCTCGTGTTGCTTTGCATACATTGTGTTCTTGTCTGTCATTGTATGGGGTCTGGTCCTAGGGCATGGAAACTTGTGTGATGGTCATTCATCTTCCCAG